AAGTACGCCAAGCTAGTTCATGAAATAACACATCCTGTAAATCCACTGCATTTGCTAAACTTGGGCTGCAAATATATTTCTGATATTGCTAGCAGCCAGGACAGATAAAGAAATATGATTCACAGTGCTGCCTACATAAAAACAAATCTATTGTTGGAAGCTGTTAGAGTCTTTGTGTACCAGGCCGAGGGTGGAGTGAATTACCGCTGAAGTTTCTTTCACATCTCACGCAGATGCCAAACCTAAATGTGAAAGCCCCATTCCGAAATGAAGATAAAAGCCAGGTTGTCTAAAGACATGAACTACCTTAAACATTACACTTGTGAAATGATACTTCAGGTCTCAGGGATTTTTGAGAAGGATCACATTTACATGAATCTATTTTTTTGTTGTAACATTTCAACTTGGAATGAAATCACGTCTTCATTTTACTGCCTATATGATTTATATGTTTATAGGTATACATATTCATTAGTCCTAGTTTTCACTAACCATTTTGCATTAGTTTTGCAAGAAGTAGAACGTATTAAAGACATCCAGGATGTTTGCTCTCAACTTGAAAATGGAACCACAAATAATCCAATACCTTGGCCACATTTTACTATATAGATTAATTTTGGTAGGAAAATAGATGAGAAACCCAGAAAATCATCATTGAAAAATTTCATTTCTGTCAATAGCAAGACAATGAAATAAATCTTATCAACCAGGCCCAAGATGTCTGTTGGGACTTCATTCTGTGCTCATCTGGTGCTAGGAACTGCACAGGGAGGGAAGAGGAAAGGATGTCAGAAGGGGCTGCTAATCCTGTCTGATTTGTTCACTTAGAAGGCCAAGGCTCTGGAATAATATCCAGACTTCTGCTGGGCCTGGCAGAGAGCACTGGCCCGATTTATGGTAGAGAAACATGACAAACTAAAGTTTGGAGATGAATATCATGTAACTGATGTCTAATTATGCCTTAATATTTACAAAATACTTGCCCATATGCTCAGTCTTCTCAGAATCCATCTGTTTAGAGGAAACCACAAGATTCCTCTTATTTTTAAATCTCCCGGGACATGTAAGTGGTAGCTATGCATCAAGTCCTCCACACACGCTTTAAGATATTCTCATTGAATCACAGTTAGAACGTAAATGTGTCTACTGTGATTTTTAAGTTTAGGAATCAAAGGCCGACGAGGGCGGATATTCAGTCTAAATCATTGAGTACATCTTGGAGTTGGGATCTGCAATGACAGTTGTCATCTCCACATCCAGGGAATGCGTCCGCCATTATTCCTCAGGGCAAGGACTCCTGTCAGCTGGGATTATGATTTGGGCCCCACCCCAAAATGTTTGGAATTTAGCAAGTTTTTTTTTTGTTTTTTTGTTTTTTTTTTTTTGTACCAGGAATCAAACTCAGGTCCTTGCATTTGCAGGGCAGGCATCAGAACCACTGAACTAAATCCCTGGCCCATGCAAGAGATTTTTGCATCCCGTTTCAAAAAATCTACTCACAGTGAATCAGACAGATACCTGAAAGGGAAAGCATAAAGTCTCCCTAACTTGATACATTTATGATTGATCCAAAAGACGGAGGGCAGTGAGGCCTGATACTCTCCTGTCTCTCTTGAACTCAGGGCTGGCACCCAGCAGATTCAGGAACTAAGCTTGCCCCCTGCCCTGGTTTGGCTCAATAACCCAAAGAAGTGCCTCCATTTGTTTGTTTGTTTGTTTGTTTGTTTGTTTGTTTCCAGAGAGGGTCTCACTATGTAGTTGAGTCTGACTTACTGGACTCAAACTCTTGGCTCAGCCTCCCGAGTGCTAGGATTACAGGCGTGCTCCACCACGCCCGGCCAGTGCCTCCATTTGTTGCACATGCTAGGCTCGATTTTTTATTTGATTCTGAAGGAGCCCCAACCAATAAAACTTGGTAAGTTTAATAATGCAGCCAATCTAAAATGGTGTCTGTTTACTGAGCAAGCAGACATTTTGAATTAGACTTTGCCATGATATGTTGACAGTTTAAGACTGTTGGTTTCCCAAAACATAAAAAATAGCCTTTTTATAGAATGGAGTGAAAAATATCAAATGTCAGTTGATAGGAATGTTCTTTTATTTTAAAAATGCCAGTAAATTTTTTCTTCTAAAATAATTACAGAGGTTAAATTCTTTGTGTGAAAAGTAAAATAATCAGACAGATTTGGAATTAAAACAATGGTTGGTGGCATTTTGAGTTTATATATAAAGGTCAAAATTAATTTCCTTCTGCTTCGTGTTTTTGAGTAAAACATAAAGTCGTAGTCCATAAACAGTATTTTATCCAGAAATGTGAAAGTGTGGTTTCTTTTCATTGTTATTGTGATCTTTGCTTATAACTTTTAATTATGCCTGGTGAATGTGGTTAGGTCCTGATCTTTGGGTCATACATACAAAGTCATTAACATTAATAGCCACATTCTGGGCATTTTACAAAACAAAGAGCAAGGAATTGATAAAGTTCTGATGATGGATAACAGTTTGTTTTCACATGAAAAACCATCTTGATGCTGTATTTACCAAAATAACACTAACGCTCTTCCTACTGTTCCAGGAAAATAATGGAGCCTGTTAGATACGAGATGTGCTGAGTTCTTGGTTCCACCACATTGAGGAATGAAGCTGTGCACCAAAGGAAGAAGCTAAGAGAGTTTTAGGGGAAAGTAGAAGAACGATAGCTCCTGCATTTCCAGGAGGGGTCTGGAGTGGTGGGCTAATGAGGTTCTTTGTCAAGGGTAATTTATACAGCAAGATCACGTTCTTACAATGTAGGTCAAACTGTAGTCAGTGTATAGGATAACTACCAGTCTAGCCACTTAGCTAATATTGATTCAGTAGGCTATCGAGACACCAGCAAGGGCACATGGTCAGCATCATTGACTGAATCTGATCTGTGACATTTAGCATAGAACAAACGCCTTCCTTGAAAGGGATGGAACATAAGTCAGAGTGTTCGGATCACCTATCTATGCCTCTGATAACTTATCTGGGTGGACTGGACCAGGAGGTGCTAATTGCAGTACAACCTCAAGCTGCTGTTTGTCTCTAGGAGGCTAACTCAGCTGCCTATAATACCAAAATACTTTTCTTTCCTAGAGAGAGAGAAAAAAATGTGTATATATGTTACCTGAAAGTCTTTTTTGTTTTAATTTTAACCCACAAGTAAGTGCCAGGATGCTTTTTAGAAAATGGGCAGACCAGAGCCAAATTTACAGATAGATAAATAATCTTCAGAGATTGGAAGTTCATGTGCCCTATAAAGAAAACAATGACAGTAACAATAACAAAACCTCTTAGCTATTCATAGTTTTAACTATTGAAAGCATTCATATTTTTACCCTTGTTGGATTTGCATCATGTTCTTGGAGTATGCACTGGGGAAATAAGAATTGGCAAGAATCCAGAGAGATACAGTTAGTAGAAGGAAGCAGGGGACTTACCTCGGGAGGACTTGCTTGTAGCATGCTGGTTAGTTAGCCAGATGCCTGAAAACTGAAGGAGGCTCCCAGTTCTGGACAAGCACCATTTACATATTTTCCTCCCGATTCCTGAAGGTCTGCAACTGCCCCAAGTCTGATCTAAAGCCATGTTCATCACACAGTGGGCACTAAGTGGGAACTCCCTGTGGCATAGCAGTTAAGTTTAAATGAAGTGGCCACCGTGTCACCACCAGAAAAGATGAGCTAAACGACTGTGACTTGAGAACCGAAGAATTAAAGTAAATATAAAGTGAAAATGGAGGGTTTTTTTCCCACTTAGAATCTTTTTTCATCAGTTTGTATATTGGAACTTTAAATTGCAAATGTGCATTTAGTTCTTTAAAAAGTCCTTTTTGCTTTAAGAGAATGCATGATTTTCTATGTCTAATTATAGTTGAGACTGGATTATGCAAATAAGAGAGTAATGATTTGAATGTTTGCTTTTCTTCACAAAGGGAAAGTCAATTGTACATATTTTTGTTTTTCTATTTTAAAAATAAATGAGAGAATTTAAAAATCTGCCATGGCACCTTATTTTCTAGTGCCCATGGCTAATTCCTGTCCTCCTTCCTCTCTTTCTGGTCCTACTTATAGGTGTCTAGTTTTCTGCAGACCACACCATCACCGTAACACCCGGAGCTCATCTTTCTTTCTTGGGAAACTTTCCTGCTCAAACTATTATGTTCTCCAGCAAAATGCAAGTTATATAGGAGCGGAAACTTTGAGAGACCCATCATACCACACAGTGACTAGTGAACAGCATATCGTTTTTGGGTTTTTTTTTTTGGTATCGGGGATTGAACTTGGGACTTTGTGCTTGCAAGGCAGGTGGTGGGGCCACTGAGCTAAATCCCTGGCCCAGCACATGGTATTCTTGACCAATGCTAAGAATGGCCGTAAAGTGTTCTTATCACAAACATGATGGAAACCATGAGGTAAGGCGTATGCTAAGTAGCCATATGTAGCCATTCCAGTGTAATCACTCTTCAAACAGTGTTGTTCAAAATGTATACATACAACATATTTGTAAATTGAAAACCGAAAAAAATTTACTGTTCTTTGCTGCCAGATTAATATTGGCAAAGCATATTTTCCTTGCTCAATATTTAAAATCCATATCTGTCAAACCAGTCTTTCTAACATAAATTTAATTGAAAAAGATAGCTCCACTCTGCCTTGCCTGACTTCTGGATCACTCCTTTTCCTTTCAGCCACATGGCAGTTGTCCATGACCACATTACCCCTTAGTGATTTGTGCACTCGCCGTAAGCATTGCTATCACAGACCAGGCTTGTGTGCTGGAAAATGCCTAGCTCAGTGCTTGGTAGATCACAAACAGGCAAGAACATTTTATTGAAATTCTGAGGTTGTGAATTCCAGGACAGCAAATTTTCTCCGTGTTGTCTGTGAGAACCCAGACAGGTTCTACTGAAAAATTCTATATTGCCTTACCTAGCGCTGACTCGATCTTACAGAGTATGTCTTGTCTGACTTCTGCAGAATGAACAGCGGACTTTTGAATGGTAGAATTGTGAGAATATGAAGCCATTGCAAAGCAGACCTTAACTGATTGTCATCTACTCTTCAAAAAAAGCCTGACACTTCATTTTGTCAAATTTGTAACAAAAAATGTTTGCCAAAGAGGAAAAAAGATCCTACTCTACCCAGAGATGGGGCATCAACTGTGTGAGTTCTCAATCCAGGTGCTCTGATGTTTATTGCTGTGGTTGATGCATTTATCTGAAATTTTCTCTAGTGTATCTCCATTGCAGGTTTCTTCTTCAGCCTGCTAACCCTGTCTTGCTGTCTATCCAAGACTCTACTTATTAAGGGAATATTAAAATTTTTTTAAAAAATGAATTACTTAAAAAGAGCAGTTAACAGAACATGACAATGAGGCAAGGAAGACACAAGCACAGAGCATGTAGTTTCATTGGAGATGGTTCAGAAATGTAAGCGGGTGGGTGTCCAGGAGATGTCTCAGGAGTGTCTCTAATATAAAAGAGATTATGTGGTGAGTTCTGTGGCAATCATTAGCGCTGCTAAAAATAAATATGATATTTTTCAATAAAGAAAATGTAAAGGCATGTGAGCCCTCAGCAGATTTTTTGCCTCTCTTGTCTAACTTCCTACCATTCCCCACAGAATCTTCTGCAGGTCTCTCATGATATTGGCTGAATACACAAAAGCCCCCAAACTAAGTGTTAGAGGTTCCCGATTCTCGGGGTATTTTGGTAGTGAAGAGGATATTGTCACCTTATACACACTCTATTCTTCTATTGCTTGTTTTCCATCTAAACTGTGTCTGATACCAGGAGTACACATTATAGGTGCTTGGGGAAAGACAGTACAGCAAAAATGAACATGTCAGGGAGTTTAAGATGCACTTCCAGCCTCTGTTGCAGGGAATGATCGCCTCGATTTTGTAAACTTGTGTATGATCCCAGATTTACATTGGTAAATGCTCTGCGTTTCCCCATTCTTCAGCCATTCCCTTACCCTGTGTTGTGAGTGAGTCAGAAAGCCACTGAGAAAGACTAAAAGGACCACATTCCTTTTCTTGGTGGCATCTTAGTAAGTAACTCCCACTCTGAAGTGTATTTGGAGAAGTACATGAGACGCTGTACGTGAAGCACCGGACCACTGGCCGCAGCACACTGGCTGTGACTCGCATCGTGTCCCAACTCTAGATGTGACCTTCTGCATGTGTCTTGTCTTCTTATCATTGATCATAAGAAATGCTGGAGGAGAAAGAGTTTAAATACATTCTTCTTAGGATAAAGCAGAATGTAAAGCATCAATAATTGTCAGTACCGTAGGAATGTAGTCATGATGCCAGTCAAAGCAGATCAGACACTTAGGCTGAAGACATAGTTTAAAATATCAGAATGCGTAGACTGTGTCAGATTCAGACAGAAGTAAGCTAAGAGAGGTGGTTTGGATTCTGAGAGGGCAGAATTTCTGGAACATTGGATCACTTAGGGTGACCAAAAATTAGAAGCATCATAGAAAATGTGTGATATAAATTTTAGGTAGATAAAGGACAACAAGCATAAAAGTAGCAATATTAATTTTAAATTATCTAGTTTTGAGAAATTTTTGTGTGATTCTTTGTCTTACAGTGTTACAATCAGGAAGCATATTTTGTTCTTTCTTGGAAATCCCAACTTTAGTCCTACTGCATTCCCTGAAATTACTATTTCCTTGCTTCACTGATAAAACAAACACTTTGCTTTATAAAATTATCTTAGCAGTGGAAAGTGCACTGTAAGGGTGAAATTTGTATAGCATTTATACTATAGTGGACACTAATTTTGAATTTGCCTTTAGAGGGCTTCAATACTTTTTCAGTTTAGGCATTTTTTTCTGGCTGTGTGAACTCGGGGATATTGATGACCTCCATGGATTTCTGTACCCTACCATGTGAAATAAAAACTATTGTCTGCTTCAAACATTTTGTTGATTGAGAACACGTGGAAATATGGATGTACCGATCCTGGCACGGAGCAGTCACAGTAGAAGTATGATGAACCCCAGTGCATTTTGCCTGTGTGTCTGTTTGTGTCTCAGTGTGCTCATTTGTGTGGTGTCAGGGATCAAGCCCCTGTCCTTGCACATGCTAAGTTTTCCATGGCTGGATGCAGTAGTTTTAAAGAGCACTTGCCTCCTCACAATCCATTTTCTCCAGTCTTACAGAGAATCCAAATATTCATCCTGCAAAGACGTGTTAGTTCTATAATAACTTTATTTTCTTTTATCTTTTTAAGTAGCAAAGCTACCCTCAAGGGAGGGAAATGTGTATTTTTCTTTCTTCCCTTTTCCATAACTTTTGTTTGTATTCCTCTCCTACCCCATTGAGTTTGGTGTAGCCTCCCCAAAACATATATTTGAAACTTTAGGCAGACTCTTCAGAACATATTTATTTTGCTTATCAAAGATGTTATGCAGCATGAATACTAATTGAATAGTAAACATACTTCTGGTAACAGCATTATGAAACTCAATATATAATACTATCAGGATGCAGATGGTGGGAGTGTGGAGCAAAATCACTGCCTCTGTGGCTCGACACAGGCAGTATACAGTATGCTGCACAGTGATAAAGCTAGAAAATTAAAATGGGTATTTTTGCTATGGATTTTCCAAATGAAAATGCATTTCTACTAGTGCAAAATATGGCCGATCAATTCCCAGTGCTACTCTAGGATTCAGAGCCTTGGACTCATGCCTGGAAATAATGCATTGGAAGGAATGCACGAAAGTATGGCCAAAATGAATTATTGCCACATTATTGGTAAATTCAGTGAAAAATTGGTTTTGCTTGAACTTTAAAGAGGACAAGTTTTAGCAGTAGGTCAGGTGGTCTTTATAAAGTTCATTCAGTTTTTTTTTTCTTTTTTAAGTCATTCAGGTATCTGTAAGGTTCTCATTGCTTCCGTTTTTGTTTCTCCCTCTTTACTTCTTTATTTTTCCTGATAATAAACTTTTAGATTTCAGCTTATTGATTCCATTTCTCTAAGTCTAAACAATTTTGTATACCTGTGGTTTATATAAAAACATGCAAATTGATCATTATTAATAATGTGTGTGATATGAAGAAATTGCCAAAATATATATTACATCATCATCAGAAACACCATTAAGACATTGTAGTGATCTTGCATGCTACTTGTGTTTTTTGCATTACATTTCTAGTGTTTACAATATTATTTAGCATTTATTGGCTATGACAAGAATCCATTTTGTAAAGAAAAAGTAGGGAATTTTTTGCTGTCATGTTTTTGTTGTTATCTAATTAGTAATTTTGACCTTAACAGCAGATATAAAACTGTTTAATGATCCATGATGAATGATATTTGAAGATTGTAGGCATAACACCATCAAATTAGGATATTTTAGCTTTTCTTTTAAGGCATTTCAAGGCAGTATTTTGAATTGAGGGAGTAATTGTGATATGGAAGAGCTAGATGTAGGGAGCTAGTTGGAATGTGCATATTTTGAAGCAACTCCTTTAATATTAAAAATATACTTTTTATAATCACTACATAGATATATACTATTTGTATGCCTCTATGTATGTACAATTATATATTTTTCTTGAATATTAAAACCAGTGCCCCAATAGACCAAGATGAATTATTCCTGCTTTATTCAACTCCTTCATTTAGATTTTTATTTTATTTTTTGGTTTTTTGAGATAGGGTCTCACTTTGTAGCTGAGACTGACCTGGAACTCACTATGTAGCCCAGACTGGTCTTGAACTCACAGTGATCCTCCTGCCTCAGCCTCCCAAGTGCTGTGCTTACAGGTGTGCCCCCACTGCGCCTGGCTAACTCCTTCATTTAGATTTTTATTTTATTTTTTGGTTTTTTGAGATAGGGTCTCACTTTGTAGCTGAGACTGACCTGGAACTCACTATGTAGCCCAGACTGGTCTTGAACTCACAGTGATCCTCCTGCCTCAGCCTCCCAAGTGCTGTGCTTACAGGTGTGCCCCCACTGCGCCTGGCTAACTCCTTCATTTAGAACATGTTAGGTTAAAAAGAGCCGTAAATCAGGGCCAGACCTGGGCCATAACAAGCATTTATTATGGGCAGGGTCAGCTGGGCTCTCTGAACAAAAGGGAGAAAAGCAACAGGGCAGAACAGGGGGCTTCTTTTATAGGAGCGGGGTGCATTTAGCCTAAGCTGGGGTGGAGTTGAGTGAGGTAGTACTGAGAGATTGGAGGAGCCTGTGACATCACTAGCTGCTAGGAGGTAGCAAGTATCAGGTTACTCTTTTGGTAGGAAAAGAGGTGTGATGGGAAGAGGAAGCCTCTCCTTTGTTGGGAAAAGCCATATTTTAACATGGAGGCTGCTATTCTATGTGTCAGCCATCTTGAAGCAAGGGAGATCTAACACACCATTTTCCTTAAAAGAAATAGGACGTTAGGACATGAGATTTATTTTTGAGGCCAACACTGTTTCTTTGTAGCAGTTGCAGTCTAACTTAATTTTTAGGAGGAAGTCCAAACCAGGGGAAGCTACAGAAGCAAGGGTAGCGTTGTCCCGTGTGTGCAGAGCCTAGATTTTGCCCCTCAGTGAAGCTTTCTGTCCAGACTCCATCTGTCTTACAGCTGAAAAGCATTAAGCTTTAGCAATGGGCTTTACTTTCTTTACTTCCTGGCTTTTGCTAAGCAAGCAAGAAGTTTTATCTTTACCTCTTACAGATTTTGCAGCTAGTAAATGAATGTATGCTCTTATTTAAGCTACAGAAGGTAGTAATTCTTTTGCTGAACACAAAACACCATTGGTATCTAAATTAACTATGTTTTGACTGGTAATTTTTTAAATTTGAAATTTTCGAAGAGCTAATTTTCTCCTGAAATTTTTCTTTTTTTTTTTTTTTTTTTAGAAATCCATGACCTAAAATAGATGATACATGCAAGAGGAAAGAGACACTGTGGTTTTGTTTTACCTGATGTGTGTTGGTGTAGAAACGAGCAAAGACATTCACAACCATTCGGCCACTTTGGGGGGTACTGTTGACTGAGCACATTTGGGCAGGGTTAAAGTATGAGCATAGGCCACAGACTGTCACATATGGTTTGCGTTAGGGGAACACAATATTAGTTTTTTTAAAAAAGAAGGAAAGCATTGGTAATGTGAGAGAATTCCAGGTTTGTTTCCTCTAAAACAGTGTTTTGT